TATAATAATAACAATAATGATATCTTAAAACAAGCAATTTGAAGACTTTATGCTCTGGGAAGTTGAGATGGGCATTTTTCAGTATTATTTTCACATTTTATAGGTCAAACAATTAATCACTTAATTAAAAAAATAACAGGCAGAAATGTTAAATGTTATTGGATGGGTGATGATGTAATACAGACACCATCTGAAACTAAGACATTTGATCAGGAAGGACCTGTATCTATATGGATTTAAACAAATGAAACTACTGACAGCAGTTTGGTTGCTTTTATCTAAGATAACTAAACATTCACTAACATTTATTTATGTAGTCAGATATGGAACAAAACCTCTGAGCTCTGTATCTACAGGACATTATGTTTTAATTTCCACACCTATCGAGCATTGTTTAGTACTTTAAACGTAACTACATGTTCATGTTTGTGTGCTTGCAGTCGACCGTTTTACGTGTGTGTTTTATTGTTCCCCACTGGCATGGCGGCAGGCGAATGTGTGTGTGTGTATGTGTGTGTATGTGTGTGTGCTTTTTGTTTGTATGTAGATGGGGGGGGGGGCACAGGGGAATAAACCAGTGCCTGGCAGGAAAGCCTCCTTTTTGCCCCCTCTGTTTTCCCGTTCTCCCCTCTCATCAGCGCCCCCGCCCCCAGTCTTCCAGTCTTTGATCCATCTATTGTGCGTTGATGCACCTCCAGCTGTGGGAGGCTGCATCCCAACAAAACACAAGCCTGCAGCGGCACACGAGGGTGGAAGACATTTGTTTATTGAGAAGAAGCTCTAAATATACACAGTTAAATGAAAGGCAGTCTATAATCGACCGATCCTAACCCCCTCCCCTAATGAAGCAGTGCTGTCGCTCCAGCACCGTATATCATGGCTCTTTTCTCACATACTTCATAACATAACATTTTTTTGTTTTTTCGTTGGTGTACATTTTTGTGTGCATGCATGATCACTGGTATGTGCTTTCAGCGGACGTTTTGTCTTTGATCTACAGCTATTTATAACTGTAGGTTTTGTGGCAACGCTCACACAAACACTAGCACACCTTCACAGACAGACAGAGGTGCGTTGTGAGGGAGGCTCTCTGCTGCGCTCAGTGCCGGGCCTTTAGATAGAAAAGAGTCACACACACACCTTCACAGACAGATGTCACTTAAAAGTCATCAGTTCCCTAAACAAGACGTTTTTTAAATGATGACTTATACTATAACTCACTTTCAACTCTGCTTCTTACTTTTTTAAACTGGCCTTGGTGTGAAGTGTAAATGCATACAGGCTGTCTTTAATCAGCAAATTGGTTTAACTGAACTTCTGATTCAGCAGTATCAGGTGTGGCTACAACCACATTTCACTGTTAGACAGACAGACAGACAGACACATGTTGTTGACCCCCCTCGTGCCCCGCAGGCTTTTCTAGCCTGCAGCTATATTTTGGGCAAACCCTCATCTTTTAGGGAAGGAGTTAGAGGGTTGTAAGGGTGCAAAAAAAAGGGGTGGGGGTGTAAAAAGTGACAGAGGAGAGCAGAAATTTGCGCGGCAGTAGAGAGGGAGAGAGAGGGGAGGGAGAGAGGGAGAGAGAGAGAATCTGCTGAGTCTCATGACTGGTCTCATGATGATCCTAGCAGCAGTACAATAGCTGCCTTTATCGAACACACACACACACACACAGGTCTGAGAGATGACAGCCAGACCAACGCACCATACAAAGCATCTCATTGAGTGCTTGTGGAGATGCTCATCTGTGGAGCTGTGCGCTCTAAGGACTGATCTCATCTTTAGCACTTCCAGGCTCCGTCCCTGTTGACTTCTGATTCTCACTGTTTTGTCTCTTGTCGCAACTTTGGTACAAATGCATATACATCATTTGATTCAGTTTGCCTTCAATGTTATCCCTAGTAGCTCTAAGTCTACATCTATTTTTCTACTTCTCCCCAGTCTCTACGCTAGCCTCAGTTAAGGTGTGTGTGTGTGTGTGCCTCTAACAGTTGGTTTTCCCCTGGAGTCCTTCCCACAAATTTTACCACTTCCTCTTCTCTCACGTTCATTTCATTCCTATTGGCTTAAAGCCAGCCAATAAGAGTTCAACAACACAAAGGTAGTGGGCACTGTCGGTGTAACCACCAGGAAACAGGAAGCCAGGGAAATTCTAAGAAAAGTTTGTTTGTCACTTTCACTCATGCACTGTGGCACAGATGTGTATTACTTTAACATGTTCACACAACAGTGCTCCAACAGCAGATTTCAATTTGGTATGTCTATACTGGTTCAGGTGGGTATTGACATTATGTTTTTATTAAACCTCAAGAGCCGTTATGGTTCTCAAACACAGTGATGGTTCTCTTTCTTTAATGCTGTTTCTCTGTTAACTGGTTTTATGCAGAACGTCTTTTATGATGTTTCTTTGCTCATGTGTTGTGCTCGTTGCGTCTCCATAGGTCTGTTCAGAAGAGCAAGGCTCTTGTGGCATGACGACGACTAACAAAGGAAATAAAGCCCTGAAGGTAAGAGAGTGCTTTTCTTTTCTTCTGTGAATTCTCTGGTGTTGATACGTTCTGTGTGTCTCACTCCTCTTCCTCCTCCTGTTTCCACCAGGTGAAGCGCGAGCCGGGGGAGAATGGCACCAGCCTCACAGACGATGAGCTGGTGACCATGTCAGTGCGGGAGCTGAATCAGCACCTCCGTGGACTCTCCAAGGAGGAGATCCTGCAACTGAAGCAACGGCGGCGCACCCTGAAGAACCGGGGCTATGCCGCCAGCTGCCGGGTGAAGAGAGTCACCCAGAAGGAGGAGCTGGAGAAGCAGAAGGCCCAGCTGCAGCAGGAGGTGGACAAACTGGCCAATGAGAATGCTTCGATGCGCGTTGAGCTGGACGCTCTGAGGTCTAAGTACGAGGCGTTACAGACGTTCGCCAGGACTGTGGCACGGAGCCCCACTGTCGGGGTCGGGGTTAGGGCTGGAGGAGGGGGAGGAGGGGGAGGGGTGCCGTCGTCAGTCATTGGTCCACTCATACCGGGAAAGGTGGCAACAGCGACGAGCGTGATCACAATAGTGAAGTCAAAAACAGATGCACGGTCTTGAGGGAGGGAAGGATAGATGAGGGTGGAGTTCAGCTGCAACAGAGTAATTCTTCTCCTCTGCCAGCCGCCTCTCCTCCACCTGCACTGACTTCAAACAGCTGGGCCGTCTCGATCACGTGGCCTCAGCATGTTCCCATCACCTGTCTCTCAGATCAGTGCAGGTGGAGGAAAGAATGGAAGCAGAGGAAGATTATTGAGACTACAAAGGAGCAAGCCCTTGGTCAGCGCATGATCATTTAGCACAGGACAGATACACAGGGTTCCTACGGTCACTGAAAGCCTGGAAGAATCAAAGAATTTGAGATTAGTTTTATTCCAGGCCAGGAAAAAAAAAATATCATAAAACATAAATGCCCAAAACACTTTGGAAAAAACATGCAATTTTGTTCAGTTCCGTTTACGTCAGTCGAGTGTTCAGTGTCGAGTTTTACTGCTGGTAGATCTCTAGATATCTGTAAATGCATAATAATCCTGTCACACATTTGCACACTACATTTGAAGTAGTCGTTGAACATTTAAATTTGCATTTTTTGAAACCACATATTAATTAGAATCAGAACTCCTGAACTCCAAAAGAATAGATTTCTTGTGACCTGCTGATTTCAGTGGCTGCAGAGGAGTTTCATCTTGCTCCACCCAGCAAGAACTTTTTCAAAAAAGTACTATAGAAAAATATATATTACACAATGGTGGTACCTGTATTTCTACTGTTTTGTACTGTGCTGTCATTCACATGAGGTCCAAAGTGTATTCTGTGTGTCAATTGTTATATATCAGGAATTCTGTGAAATTCTGTGGCGCGTGTTCGTTTTGGTATTGCTATATTTAGTTAGTTGTATTTTTTCTACAGTCTCTTCACTTTCTATATCCAACTCTCTTTCTCTGACGTATTCTTTCTCTGTCCTTCCATTTTTCAATTCCAACTGGGTTCCAGTTATTATACACAGTACTTCCTGGATCTAACAGAGAGAAGGGGGGAAAGGCAATTGATATTTACCAAAAAAACAAAACAAAAAAAAACAACACTGTAGAGAAAAGGAGACAAAGTTACTGAAACTGAAAAAGTCACTGACCTTATCTCAGTTCATAAGAATTTTCAGGGAAATGGTCATTTGAACACCAGAGTGGAATTAAGATAAAGTTGTCTTCTGTCTGAGTTCCTCTCAAAAATATATTCAAGAAAATTGAAAGGGCAAGTGCCTTGGTCTCCTAATGATATGCATCAGGAAGAAGTCAAGAGAACATGAACTGTGAAGATTCAATGCAAGTGCTTATACCTGTGCTTAATGGGATACACTGACCAATCAGGAATCAGGTTGTGGCAGCATTTAACTCTCGGTGTGCGTCGTCGTATGAGCTGTGTAGTACCCATCAGGATTATTAATATTAATATTAACACCCATTTATGTGATTGACAGTTCATTTACTCAAAGAAAAAACAAGAGGGGTCTGCAAAACAGGAGCATTCACAGTCATTTATCGTTCATATCTTGCACAGAATAATGTCCATATATCTGTTTCATGTGAATTACTTGGTTCACATGTTTTTGACTCTGAAATCTAGGTTATACTCACTGCAAACATGTCTTGCTTCAAATCAAAGCAGTTTAGGTTGCATTCCTCTTGCTTTTAACCACAAAGCTCACTTTGCAAGTGCAAATATGATTACTCACAATGCAGTCTGCTGGCAAAGATATTTCTCTGAATTTTCAGTCACACAAATGGGATGTCATTTCACTCGAGTTTTACCATAAAAAGTAGTCTTATGTGGTGTTCTATACTTAAAAGAATCTTTGTCTATGTATGGTAGAGTCTGGAATTTTATAAAGACAATTATCTTTGCATTGTTTGTAACGACCTGTAAAAAAAAAAAGGTATGACAAAATCTGTTTGATATACAGTATCTCTCTATTTTGCAATTGTACCAAAAGTGGCTTAACTACTGAATAGCTTTGTTTTCTCTCTAGTGACTAGGCACGTGTGTGTAACCGTGAACTAGCGTGTGGTGTGCTGTGTAGGTATGTGACGAGGTATCTATAACGTTCACTATTTCATGGTTATGACTTTAATCCTTGTTTGATTTCAGGCCGAAACGGGTGATGACACCGTGGGCAACTCTGCACTCTTTCTCTAATCACAAAATCTTTGTTCTCCCGGCCCGATCATTCAGCTCCAGCACTGCATTCGTGTTAGATCGTGTGTTTTATCCGCTCGTACTCTGCTCTCATGATTTGTAATTGTAAGTTCACTTTGGCAGACCCATTTTCCGTGTTGTTGAACAGGCCTTTGTGGCTTTCTTTTGGCCCTTGCAGCATTCAAAGCTTGTTATTGCAGATAAAATGACCGATGAGACGAGGAGGTGTCATGGTTAACCTCACAAGCCTCACTATATTGTGTATTTGGGTCATCTGTGGAGGTAAAAGAGATGTGAAACTCAACAATGGGCCTAAATGGCGGCATCACCCCTAAGTTATTTTTGTAGTGTGTGATAAAGATGTTTGTTTTTGCTGTATACATTTTATACAGTTATGTATATATAATGTTGTTCCTGTTTTGTTTTGTTTGCGAATTGTTCTTTATGTGTCAGGGAAGTGAAGCAAATTTGTTTATGTGTTTGGTGTTTTAATAAGTGAAAAGGTGTATTCTGCTATTTAATGGTTTGTCTGTCAAAGACTTAGGTTTACCTTCTAAAGTACAATTGCCTCAAACAGTTTTTCAACAAATGAAAACCTGATTTAAATTGAGGTATTTACTGAAATGGAAAAGAAATTACAATGATTAAAAAAACAGTACAAACATGCAGCCTTTTACCTGAACCGCTACTTTTCCACTGTGAAGTAAAAAGGGGTTAGCTAGCTTACTGCTGTGCAGTTATTAAGATAAGCAAGATATGCCTTCATTTGTACCCTACATTAAAATAAAATAAAATTCAAACAGGTGAGCAATGTGTAAAGGCATTGGAAGGGAATGGGTGTGAGGTTTTAAAATATTATTTCTCCATTATCTTCAGCCTGATAGCTATTTGCACGTTCAGTCAACTGTGAAACCAGAGAGCTACAAATGTCAAATGAAAATGTCTGTTACCATTTTTTAAATGTCTTATCACAGGAATATACTCCATGGTATTCGGCTAAAAGCAGATATAGGTATCACGCAGTATATTTATGTATGTGATCTATATATTTTTTTAAATGGTCCTGTTTTATAATTTGATTTTCTACTGGAATTTCTTTATTTCATATATTCTTTCTCTCCGTCACTCTGTTGCTTCCTGTCTGTCTTTACACTTGCTTGTTAAATGATGTTTTTTGTTTTTATTGCTGGCAAGTCCTGTGTGGTGTGTGTGGTCATGTATAAAATAGGAAGAAACGTGTTGTTTGCTAAGATTAGGTTGTGTCAAGTTGAAGCTTCTCAGTGCTTGTCAAAATATACATACTGTATGTGCCACTGTCAAACAATCCCACCCAGTCTGTATTTTTAGGCTCCTCTTGTTTAAAAAGGATGCACACTGTATAAACATAAATGTGTTAACATGGTGGCTGCTGTTTAATAGACATCTCTAATTATGCAAACTGTGTAGGGCAAAATTAGACCTCCTGCCACATGCTATTGTAGTTGTCATGTCAACTTGTCGGTTTTATAATTGCAGGTACAGTGTGATGTGACAAGGTTAGAGAGTTTATACACAGAGCGTTTAGCAGTGTATACTTGGTTTTAAATGACAGCGCCAGTTTGCCTCTGTTTTAATCTTAGTTATGTGTTATGTGGCTCGCATTGCTTTTTCAGTGTCACTTGACAATTAACTGTGAAAACATGAAAACACCCATTATGTTTTATCAATTTCCAAATGAGAAAAAGACTGAATGCAAAATATACTGTGGCTGTCATACAAAGCCTGCAGTCGAACTGAAGAATACCATTATTTTGTCTTCCAGGTTTGAATATCTTGTGGTTGTAGTGGGATCAGGATGTTAGGTCTCTAAATAAATGAGGTGAAACATTACAGTTTCTTCCTCATTTTCACTCAGCACACATGATCAGCTGACAACAGTGACCTTTAGTGATTATCAGACAGGGCAGCTTTGTGGCTTTTCATAAGAGTTTAAGAGCTTGTAAGACATGCTGACCTTATTTTCCACTGCCTGTACAGGGGTCGTACCCTCCTTATGAAAAGACATTTCATCACAAACCCACGCAACTACTCCTGAACTATAAATATTTTACAGAGGCAGAAAGGAGTGGTGGAGACACATCTGATAAAACTCTCAACCATGTCCCAATCCACTTATCCTATTCCTGTGTACAAAGTGTCAGCAAGTTAACTCAGGAGGCTTCCAAGCCCTTCTCCAAAAGTTCCGATTCTTCTAGAAGATGCAAATCATTAACTCCTTATCTTGCTGCTTGGCCAATCGGTATGTAGTCATTCAGTTGTTTTCCTGTCTAGTGAATCACGCCACTGGACTCTAAAAGCCCTTTCATCCACCGCCAATGCCGATCGATGAGAGTAAATGAACCAAGGATTCCTTTGATCGTTCGTTTGGTGTTTTCATCAATAATAATGTTTGTTTTGCCTCCCAGGTTACCCCCCTTCCTCATGCTGCTCTCTCTTACTCTCTCTGCTGCCCCTGCCCTTATCAGTTGTTCAGCCTCTAACATGACATTTTTACCCAGAGTTTAGGTATCATATTTTTATTTTATTTATTTTTTTAAACTGTCCACCTCTTTAATTTGACTCCTGATTAAAAAAACAACACACGTGTCTGCTGGTGAGCATTCGGCCAGGTTACTCATGGGAGCTGGGATATTTTTGTGTTTCTAAAAGTATATAATGGTCAGTTTAAAGCTATAAAAAAGTAGTGCGTTTGTGTGAATATGGCGTAGCCTATTCAGAAAAGCCCTTGTAATAGAACATTCTGTGTTTTGTAATATTTCTGTATGGGGTGTAATAAATTATTCTACAACAGTACTTTCTATGGGAAAATACTTAAAGTGTGACAGTCTTTGTAAGTATTTATCTTCAACTAAATTATTGTACCTTTTTTTGCAATTTGTAGATACGTAAGTGACGATGACAAGGTATTGGTAATCATGAAATTAACTGTTTCATCATCTGTCCGACGCATCTCTTAATTTATTGATGTATATACTGTATGTTTGTTGATAAACAGCTTACTTTATTTTGTATATGACCAATAAACATGTTTTGAAATGGAACAGCTTTTTGTTTGTCTTGTGTATTTAAGGAATATAGGAATAATATTTAAATTCTTTTAATGTTGATTAGCATATTATTATTATTGTTATTAACAGGGTGACTAAAAATAGAATATTAATTAGAGGGTATTTTTAAGCAGATATAGGATATTTAAAATGAATTCAACAAATGAATATAATATATATACTGGGTTAAAAAAGACTAATTACTGTCATTATTGTTTTCTTTCTTCTTTTCATGAAAGCATGCATATACATATATAGTGTCTCAATATGGGGAACAGTAGGTAGCCAGCAGTTGCATATGTTCAATACATTATATACATTGAATGAAACAATCTACTTTACAGTTCTAGTGAAGACTTTTACACATTTTAACTACAAATTTGAAACAATGTCATCCTTCCTATATGTGAAAAAACAGCAAATTAATAAGTTGGCACTGACAGCCTTTTTACAGCAAGAATACAAACATTTTTTGCAATTAAACTGAAAACTTCAAGTCTATGTTGCTGTGGTTTCCCTCTCCTTTCTTTTATTAATACAGCATATACTATAATAGAATAATAGGTATATATATGCCTATTACTACTGCATTATTATTATTAATACTGCACTTTTAACCTATTTAGTTTAGCATCGTAAGTATTACTTAAAGTATATATTACACATTTGTTTATGTGTCTGTGGATCCAGTCCAGTCTGTAGGTGGCAGTATCCAGTTATCATCAGCTCCCCTCGGCCCCAGCAGCCTGCATCCGGTGAAAACACGGAGCGTCAATTAATCATTAATCGTTATTAAGACAAGCGTCGCACCAATGTCTGTAGACAAAGAGGAGTAGATTGTATCTGTTTAGTTAATGTGATGTTATTCTTTGTAAATTAAAGTTGCGCGTTGTGTTTTAAATTGGTATAATCCTTGTTTAATGAGATAGATCCATGTCCGTGCGGAGGATCCACTCCGGGGTTTCCGCGGGTTCCCAACTGTCGCTGGGAGGAGAGGCGGTAAAGATGTAAACACTGACCCATCCTGAGAGAGGTCGCTTCTAGGTAGCTTGCTAGACTGTATTGTGTTGCTGTTTTATCAGAAGTAACACTGCAGAGCTGCTCAACCTTTGCTTCTCATACGTCTTCTAACAATAGCACTTAACTTTAGCGGTAGTTTGGTGTTTAACGCCAACCGGAGCGACCGCAGCTAACCCGTTAGCTACCTAGCTAGCACCACAGCTTAGCAGCTATCGTTAGCAGAAACAGGACCTGTCCGTAGATACTACCTACTGTGTCCTGATGAGACTTGATGGAGGACTACGACAAGTTTGTGCAGCGTTGTCTCTCCCGTCTGAGGAGCAGTGAGGAGGAGGAGGAGGAGGAGGAGGAGGGACACAACAAACCTTCACCCTCTCTCATTCGCTTCTATGGACTCCCCATCCTTCCTCCCCTGGTAGGAGCTCAGTCTGAGGATATTGCTGTTAAACATCGTGATTGTGGTTGTTAACCACTGAAGGTCACTGTGCTGTGTGTTTGTGGAGGTTAATACTATCAGTCAGCAGACAACACAAATGCTACAGCTGATCAGATGTTAAGTTTGCTGCTCTGTTGTTCAATCGTTGTACATTTTACTGAAACTTAAAGAACAGAATAATCTATAATGAGTATAATCATTAGTGCCAGCCCTGTTATTGACCATGCCTGACACCCAGTGTCTGCTTTGTGCTGATAACAGCTTTCAGGAGAGCAGAGAGAGGAGATGCAGCGACACAGAGATGCAGCGCAGGAAGCTGCTGTCCACACAAAGCTGCAGGATGATGCAAGAATGGCCTACGTGCAAACTATCCTACACAGTGTTCAGGTAATACACGTCCTGACTCATCAGCTGTCCTCCTGATGAGCTTAATATGTTCACATATTAGTGTCCCTACATTACTGCAGAGCGTAGTCCTACACAGACATACACTAGTTCTTTGAATGAATAGAGTCATCATCAGACGTTATTGTCTTTTATCCAGTGATTTGTAGGGCTGCACTATTAATTAACAATTAATTAAGAATGAAGTACTGCAGTGCTGCTGCAGAAATGCACTGGCCTACAAATCCTTTCCAGCTCTGAGAAAAGAACATGTTTTGTTTGTTACAGGCCCCAATAAATGTCACATCATCATGATTTTAATCGTTTTTTTCAGTGGAAATTAAAAAAGTGACGCTAAAATCACGATCATTCCCTCGAATCATGAATCATATCGCAATATCTGTCAAAATAATCGCAGTATGTTTTTTCACCATATCGTGCAGCGATTGTTGACCGTGTGGAAACACTTCTTCTTTGATCTGATTTCTGTTATTGTTTCCTCTTAGCTGAGGAACACGCCGACACTGGAGGAGTTGCTTCAAGAGTCAGAGGTTAACTCAAAGTCTTCATATTCCCATAACACCAGCGGTGGATCGGTGTCACAGAGCAGTTATTTCATGGTGACAAAGGATAGTCTTTCGCTCTCGCCTCCACCTGAAAGGAAAGAAAAAGATAGCGTTTCTCTTTCTCCTTTCACATCAACTACATATTGTGCCTTTTTTGCCTCTAATGTGACACCTCTGCAAAGTTACCAGGAAGGATGCCTTATTGACCAACATTACAGCCAACAGGGATCCCAGCCAAATCCCCTTAATAGTGCGTGCCACCAATCAGAATCCTCAGGATACGCGACCTTCGAGAACGCTGAAAACACCACCAGTGTCTCTGGAAGGATCGATGCAGGGAGAGAGAGCCACGGCTTTGGCTCCTCAAAGGGAGCTTATAATATGGCTGGCTTTTTCCTTTACAACACCTCAAACACAATCACCAAGATGCCAGATATTATTAGCCATCCCCCTATAGATGGAGATGAATTGGAAAGGAGTGGATTGGAATCATCCTTTTGTAGTGACTTTATTGTGGTAAAAGACACAAGTTTCTCCTCGTGCCAGGAGGAATCAGTCATGTGTGACCATTTACCAGTAGAGAGATCCAAAAGCAATCAGGAGGACAGCACAGAGGGTGAAGATAACCTTCCTGTTACTACAGTACTTGACTTTGATGAAGATCACAATTTGGACCAAATTGAGGGCCCAGTCCCTTCATCAGAAAACATTCATTCAGACAATCCAGAGTTATCACAGACATTGAGCAGTCACTGTCCCACAGCAGAACTGCATATTCAACACAACCCCACAGAAACAGAACCTCTAAGTAACCATGTAGATGAAGCAGAGCCATCTGAGGAGCCTTATCGTCTGAGCCTGCAGGCTTTGCTAAAGAAATCTCAGGAGTACCGGCGGCGCCAGCGGATGCTTAGGAACCAAGCCAAAAACACTAAAATCCAGGAAAGGACCCAAGAACAGCCAAGAGCAAGGACAGAGGAGCAGAACCTCTCTGATAAGGAGAATGACGAGTTCCCTTACAAGGGCACCGTGACTGCAGAGGGGAAGAAAACTAAAGAGAAGAAAGGCACTTTTATACGGTCAGTGGAAACTCCACCAAAGAAATTTGTGGAAAATGAGAGTATGATTGAGTGTGACTTTTTTGGGAAAAGGGCAAACTCTACATCTGAAAGCACACATTTAACAGGAGATGGAAAAACAAAGGAAATGACTAGTGTTGAGGAAGAAACAACCAAAAATAATAAGCTGAACCTTTCCCAAGAGATCAGAACAGAGCCGAAACAAATCAGCGCATTCCCCCAGCAACAGCCCATGTCGTCAGAAGCCTCCCCTGTTCAGGAAGCCTTCTACCTGACCACCTCTCCCACCGCTTTTCATAAAGAAGTATGGAAATATCACACTATCCCAACCCCTAATTTCTGTAGGAGTCCTGTTCACTGCAAAAGCAAAGGCAGTATCCAAGATGGAGAAGCTGTTGATGTGGCTGAAACCTCAAAGAGGAACATTTTAGTCAATACTGGTTTGAATGAAGACCACAAGGTTGAAGAAGTTAACCTGGGACATCACAGCAGTCCCACAGCCGTTCCTTCCACGGTGAACCTCACTGCTGAAGCTGATGTAACAGGCGTTCTCACCAAGAGTTCCCAGCACATAGATCAGCTTGAGTCCAACCTGTCCGGTCTGAAAGTACTGATCTCGGATCTGGAGTCCACGCTGACAGAAAACTTGGGGAATCACAGCCAAACTGAGAGCAACACGCAAAGTGAGTTCAGTTTTGAGGGCTTCAAGCACTCTGAGCAAATTAAAAATGAACATGTGCAGCTTCATCAAAGTGATTGTGACAATTGGGAGGAAAAACTGAGGGATGATGACAATAGCAACGATGCGGAGGAAGACCAAAGGTACAGAGAGTGGCCGAGAAGACAATCATTGGACAATTACAAGAACCTGCATGAAGATACAGAACCTGAACCAAGCATCAGTGACATGAACAATGTTCCTGTCATAGTGGAGGTAAAAGGAACCGAGCTGGGACACTTAAGCGAGCTCAGTCTTGTCAAACCCATTGCTACAGAGAGAGGAAAGGAAAAAGGGACATGCAAACAAGGCCTTACAAAGAGTTATGGACAGCATGGCGGCAGTAGACAGCAGCAGCCCCCACCTAAATGCATCCTCTCTGCAGCACAGCGGCTGCGAATTCCAGACATATTCAGAAATGGTCCATCTGAAAGCACGGCTCCACGTAATGTCTCGGTGCTTTCAGATGCCAGTAACCATCCAGTGGAAGGGAGGAACGAGATGGCCGTAGAGGATCACGACTCTACCCACCTGCCCTCTCTCAACCAGTCGTATGATGTGGACGCGCCGTCTGGCCTGTGGCTCCTCGATGGGTCAGGCTCCGACTTGGGGTCGAAGGGTCATCTTGTTCAGGAAAAACATCTGACCCCGGAGAGCGGAGGTGAAGGTCAGGCCGGGGGATCCAAGGTCAAACGGAGACTGCTCATGCAAATGACGGAGGAGACACGGGAAAGGAGTGCAGATACCAGTAGAGGGACAGACTCTGTGGTCAGACCCAACTCCAGCACTCCTAAAGGTAAGACCAGGATGAAAGTGGGACAGGGATGTCAAACGTGTATGTACAAAACAGCATTGTTGTTGGGTGCATGGAGATTTGGAAAATGAAAACGAACAGTATGAATGCCTTAAGCTGGTCCTCAGGATCAAGGCTAATCATGGTATCTGTTAAATTAAAAAAGTCTATTAGTGTGGTACTACTTCAGGAAAACAGTGTAATGTAAATAAAAAGATCAAATGAAAATATTAATTAATTATTAGAAAATTAATCAGACTTTTTATTTAAATAGCATAGGGCTTTGATTTGGATCAGGAGCCAAAAACCTGATCAGGTGTTTTGTTGAAACAGAACCCAGTATACTCCCTGCCCTCCATGACACACGTTATTAATCTAATGGGACCATATTTTCTGCCTTTAGCTGCAGGACGACGGCAGGAAGCCCATGGCAGTCAAAAAGACAAGCAGGAACAACTGAAACAGGCCCACGCTGCCCAGGTTAGAGCCCTGCAAGATGAGCACAGGAGACAACAGGAAGACCTACTGCAGGTGAGACAAAGGGGATTAATGACTGGTATCATTGGGTGAATAATTAGATGTTATTAAGATAGCAGACTAAACAAGAAATGGTTAAATTGAGACATGTGGAGCTGAAAAATGGGTGGCAGGGGCCTATTGCTGCTATTTAATGTGTAATCTTCACCTCTTTAGTCTATGTGCAAATTAACCTTACAAGACAGTAGTGTTGCAGAAGGACATATAACTGGTTGACCTCAAACATGTCGCCCCTTCCTCTTTCGTGACAGGGCCAATGGACAGCAAGAATGTTTGTATTATAGAATAGCTCAGTTTTTTCCTAAAGATAGTTTCACTTTCATTTTTCTTTTTGACAGATAAAGGATACGTTTTTCATACTGTACTGTCATCAAATACCATGAAAGGACCAAACCCACTGACCCTAACAAGTACTGCCTGTGTAGCAAAAGCCTGACATAGCTTCTATATAGAAAGCACTGACTTCAATTCAGTTATTAAATCTTACATTTCATTTACAAAGGTCTTGAATAGTTTTTCTTGTCTGCTGTAGATAGTAACATGAGTTACACAACAATACAAGTATTTTTTGGGGCTTTTTATTGCCTTTATGATAGTGACAGTTGAAGAGAGACAGGAAAGGGGGCAGAGAGAGGGATGACACCGCAGCCAAAGGGCGCAGGGTCGGATTCGACACCCCTGGGCCCGCCTGCAAGCAAGGATCCAGCCCTCAGTACATGGCGACCAGCTCTACCCACTGAGCTAACCGGCGCCTGAGCACACATTTTTTTAAAGCAACAAATAAGACTGGTGTGACAGTGATTATGCTTTGCCACAGGAGCTAGGAAGCTCACCGACTCATAACGGGCAAGTGTTGATTTGACCATAAAATGAAATGAACTTAAGTTGATTCTTCTTTATTGGCTAATCCATCCATCTGTCACTTATCGAGGTCTAGATTGAGTGAGTTGAGTACGCTAGGAATTATGTTCTATATATCATAGAAGTACCGACATAAATGTGATATAGATGTCAAAAAAATCAATGTCATATGAACAATTGTAGGCCTTATCGTCCCTACTGGTTTTCTGCCATTCTTTTACCTGAGTGATGGTGAAAAATATTTTAAATTGCAGTCTAATTGGTACTAAAAAAGTCTTTAAATGTCTTACATTTAATTTTAGAGACACGGCTCTGCTCTGGAAATAGTCCCCAACAAATAC